CCAGAGCTCGGGGGGGCCCAGCCACGCCGCCGCCAACCCCGCGGAGGTAAGCGAGCCGCGGTGCTGGGGGCCGTGACTGCCGGAGAACGCGTGTGGGGGGTTATATTTATATTAATATATATATAAATATATATATAGGGAGAGAGCGGTGCATAGGCGGTGCATCCACGCCGAGCCTCTCGGCCGCCTTCTGCGGGTGCGCAGATTTGCGCCCACTCCCACTGAGCTGCGCCGAGGGTGGGGGCAGATGGGGGAATGTGCGAGCCCAAAAAGCCGGCTTTAAAACCGGGGTAAAACGTGAATATCCACATAAATAAACCCTACAGCGGGTGGGGCAGGGATGGCCTGAGCGGCAGAAACGYTGTGGTGCGAGGGTTTGTGGAGATCTCATCACCTGCACATCCACGCACACGCGATTTTGGTGGCGTGCCTGGGGTATTTACGTGTACGAACAGCCACGTTTATTCACGTCTATCTCTTATATCTACACGTTCAGTGTAAATATATAAAATAAATGATATCTAGAATACACCGGATATAAAATTTGGCTAAAGGCTTGAGCGAAGTGGCATCTTTTGTGGAGGGGTGTTTGCAAAATGGGATGTCCAGACTCAGACATGCACATCGATACTCAAATATCTATATTGATATATATATTTATGTGTATATTTATGTATATATTTAGGTATATATTTAGGTATATATTTATGTATATATTTATCTGCGTGTGCTGGTTCTCCTACCCCTCATCTCCCCGCGGTCCCGGTGGGTCCCGCACTCCCCGGCAGCAGCGGGATCCGGGCTGTTCCAGCCTCGGAGGCCGAGAACGAGCGCTCCCCGGGCGGGCAGTGGGAAGCGATTCCCATCCCTCCGCCTCAGGGTCTCCGCGGGGACCTCAGGGGACACCAGGAGGTGACGCCGGCTGCGGGGCAGAGGATTTGATTTCTCATTTTGGGTGAGGTCCTACCCTGCTTTGGCAGCGCCAGCTCCTTTGGGCAGTCGGTGCCAGCTGGAGAATTCTCCTCGGTGGGATTTTTCCCTCCTCTCGGGGTTTTTCACCTCCATCCCGGATATTTGGGAGGATTCCGAGCTGAGGAGCGCAGCCAGACCCAGTAAATGGGGCGCATCAGGGCACGGGGGGGCTTTTCCTGCCTGACCCCCATMATTTTTTWTTTTTTCCCTCCATCCTTGCTGGTGCTTTTCCTGCGGGCCTGGCTTTGCCGGGAGCCTGCAGACCTCAGCCTGGGGAACTGAGGGAAGTGCAGGCAGGGCTTGCCGGGGATGGGGTRGGATGGGATGGGATGTGGGGGACGCTGCCCCAGCAGGGCCGGGTGCCCGCTGGGAACACTCACCTTGGCAGCCTTCAGCTCCCGCGCCACCTCCTCGCTCTTCCTCAGGTGCTGCTCTTGATTTTCTCTCTCCCTGTTTCTCCACCTCTCTTTTTCTGTTGGAGGAAAAAAACGCTYTAGTATCTTTTTCTCTCTCTGTATATTTTTTCCTTTTACCTTTTCTTTTCAATTTTTTTTTTGGAGGGGGGAGGGGGGTGGTGGGGTGGTGAAATCTTCCTGCTGCGACCACCAGCACATCCCAAAATTCCTGCAGATTGAGGGAGAGCTGGGACACGGGGCAGCGCCAGCAGCCACTGGCTGCACTTGGAGGGATCTGGAGGGTTTTGATTTTTTTTCCCCCTTGTCAATCTCGTTTGGCAAATAATCGCCTGGATTTACTACTGGATTTTTTTTTTACTTATTTCCTATTTTTTTAAAAAAAATCAGAGCAAATAATTGGTTCCCGAAGCACACTTGAATCCGTGCAAATAACCAGGTTATCATTTGCTATATATAGCCCAGCGTGCTTGCTCCCAGAGGCGCCTGAGCATTCACTGGACAAGTTTCCTGCTCTCCCTGATGGCATGATCTGTTTTAAAAAATAAATTCAGCTGAATAATGCCAATCCCGATGGATTCATTTAAATTCCTGTGAAGAGGGAGTTTTGCTCCTGCTTTCCCTCTTTTCTGTACCGAGGATGAGTGGGTTTTCCTGAAGTTTCCAGCGGCTCCGTTCCTGTTGGGGTGATGCACAYTCATATATGACATAAACTCCCTCACACCCGCGTATATAAGTCTGCCTTGTGAATATATTTATATATTTAAATGTATATACATCCATCACGTAGAGGTCACGCTGGATTTTGCATTTCACTGAATGGATTTCTTTTCAGGGAAAAAAAAAAAAAAAAAAAAAAAAAAAAAGGAAAGGAGGAATCTCCCTGATAGAGCTTTAAAAAGAGGAGAATAATACAAATTAACCTTCCATTACTGCTGCAGTCAACCATGACAGAATAGGCCAGTTGCGTGGTTGGTGACGTCTCCGTGTCCTATAGGAGCAAAGCTCGTGAGATAGCAGCTATCGCCTTGAACTCTCTTTATTTTATCGGAGTATGGCTGGTAATAAACAGTAATATTTAATTTGTCTGAGCCCACAAACCGGCTGCTAGCTGCAAGGCTCCTCGCCTTGCCCTTCCAGTCCTGGGGAGCCTGGATTTGCCGTCCTTTTTTTCCCCCAGCTGCTTTATTATTATTATTWTTTTTTGCTTTCCTTCCTTGTCCACTCCTCCCCCCCCAACCTGCAGACGGAAATAAATTCGATTTATTTGCATCGTTTTCAACTTGTCTTCGAGGTGTTTGAGAGCTAGTTTGGCACTGGAGAGGTGAGTGCTTTTCTAGGCAGCGGCCGTGCCTCGGGTTCGCTCTTCCCAACTTTCAGAGATTTTCACTTTTTCCTTTCTTTCCGCCGAGGGGAGGGAAACTCGTTCTCTCTCTCGCTCGCAGCYGCGAGAAACCTTTCTCCTCGTCTCTTTGGCTTCTTTTTAAGGGAAAAAAAAAAAACCAAAAAAAACAAAACCTCTTTTCTTTCGGTCGAGCCTTGGGGGATGCTCTCGGCACACGTGCAGTGCGGGGCCGGCCGCGCTCACCGCGTGCTTCCGCGGCTTTCCCGCACCGCTCTGCCCGCCCGCCTCATTCCCTTTTCCCCGCTTTCCCCCCTGGATCTGCACCTTTCGGAGCACAGCCCAGGCCAGGGGAAGGGCTCTGCGGAGCCGCCGCTTCTCGCTCGCTCCAGGCCGGGGCTGGGGCCGYTCCTTCGGCCGCCGCCTTCCCCGCGGGGGAACGAGCGCCCGCTTTGCTGCCTCGTTTATTTGTGTTTGGWAGGGCTCCACGGCTCCTTTCCCCTCGAAAAAAATAATGAAATATGGGACGAGCTTCGCTCTGTTTGTTTAAGTAGCGTTCTCTGGCTTATTCTCTGCGGCTACAAGTGCAGTTATTTTATTATTCTTATTTGCAACCGTTTACCGTTGGCTGTTTCTCCTCAAGTAGCTGCTGGGGCTGGCGTGCACATGGGAAGGGTTTGGGAGATGCCAAACTACACCCACAGAACGCAACCCCCTCCCCAAGAGCCGCTCGCCCCCAGACTTTTCCCTTCCTCACCTCAAACTTTCAGAGGGCTCCGGTGTTATCGCGCCCTGCGAGAGCTGGGAG